GGGGTGGTGGGGGGGGGAGGGGTTTTTTTTTTCGGCCAAAACCCCCCCCCCCAAATTTTTGGGGTTCCCCCCCCCCCCCGACTTTGGTTTCTGGGGGGGAAAGTTTTTAAAAACCAACATTTCCCCCCCCCCCCTTTTTTTTTTTTTTGTTTTTTTTTCCCGGGTACCCCCCCCCTTTTTTTTTTTTTGCCTTTCCCCCCCCCCCCCCCCCCCCCCGACAGCAGTAGTCTGCGCCCAGGGTCTCGTGTATGCCGACACCTCGCTACCGCTTTAACAGCTACGACCGACTCGACGCGCGCGAGCTCCCCACGCCGCCACCACAGAACGTAGGCCAGATCCCCGCTTGAAGGAGGAAAACAAACGTGCCCGTGAAGACGCGGGCGGGGCGGGCGGGTGTTGCTGGTCCTAAAAATTGCACATTTTTTCTAGAAAACCGACACGTGCTCTCCTCTCTCTTTTTTTCGCAACGGTCTCGTCCACCTGTTCACGTCGAATACTACCAGCCCGGCGGTGTGCTGCCTGCAGTTTGTTGAAACGAAATACTCTTCCAGCTTGCGCCACCACGCACAGAATATGGGTCGGAAGTGTGCCGGCGGCGCGGGTGGGGGGGGAGGGGTGGGGGGGTGGGCGCGACGACCCGGATCGCTGTTTAGTCGCAGTTCAGAGTAGATTCAAGAAATGCAAGTACAAGGTAAAAAGGTAGGAGGACACACGCAAGCCGTTGCCCACCCCCCCTTTTGCGGAGGTGGTTACACTCAATCAACTCGTGACCACACGTTTCGTGTCAACTTGTTGCTGTGATCGGGAAAGCAGCCTGCTGCTGTCTGTGCAGCCTGGAGACCCTATGCATACAACCGTTCAAAGAGGTAGAAGCAACATCTCATCTCTCTGCCGCAGGCGCAAAGACGTGGTCGGCCGAACGAAATTCTGTTTTGTCGGTGAAATAAAAAAGCCACCACACACAACACGCGTCGAGGCATACATACGCAGGCATCTTGTTCAGTGCGACCTCGCAAAACTAACGAAATAGCATACCGCCACTGCTGCATGTACACATCCACCACGTTTACATCTGGCCGAGATTTTGGGCGATGTTAGAATATTGTGTACACACCGTTGTCCCTGTGAACCTGTGAACGGATCAGATGCAGGTCAACGCTACCCGTGAGCATGGGCACGCAGCAGCTTTATAGATGAGCCATCGTCAACGCTCAGCAGCAAGCGCGGTCAACACCCCCCCCTTCCCCTAGAAAAAGCAATTTCATGTTAGTACTTCCAATCAGTGGTATGTCTGCTAATATTCGCAAAAATGTATAGCAATACTGCTGGATGTGCCACATTTACCGAAAAAATGTTCCGAAATTCTCAGATGTTTTTTTGCCATGAAGCATACTGCTGTCGGATTTCCCCCGTCAGTAGATCGTGATCGTAGCGGCGGTGCAATAGGTGTACATCTCATACACACGGAGGGAATTTTGTTTTCGGTATAATGTCGTCTTGCTATTGGTCGAAGCTGTTTTTTTTAGAAGTCTACTCTGTACCTCCAGTTCCGTGCAAGTACATACATACGTAACACTTCATTTCGAAGGACGGACGCTTACAGTTAAGGGTGACAGCAAGGAGGGCAGTGTGTCTTTTGTGGTCATGCGGGGGTGCGCAAATTTTGAAGAGAAAAAAAGATCCCCTGTTTGATACACACCACACCTGCCCACTTCTTGTTTAGTTTTGTGGACGGGCGTGTACAGCAGTACCGTGCCACACCAACTTCGAAGAAATCTAGAGTTTTTCCGGCGTTTCTGACTAACAACCTGTGGGGTCTTGCCCCAACAGGCTCGATGTGCGTACAAAATGCAGATGTGCGTTGTATGCAGATGTATCCATACTCCATACAACACACGACGAAGGTTCCTGCCGACAGACCACAAAATCCCATCTACATCTGCTTCAAGTAGATTGATGCAGTACAGAGGTAGACATTTACGTTATCTTCGTGTGAAACGCGGCGTTTTAAGGCCAAGCCTGGTCCATTGCAAACTACCAATATCGAAGCAAAGCACAGCGCGGCACCATCCCGGCACATCGATCCCTCGCCCCTTTGGTTTGTACCTCTGATCCTGCTGTTGTTGCCCTCTTGCTGTATTTTTGTGCATCCCCTTTCGACCCCGGCGATGTCTATTCAGTCTACCCCATCATTTGCGGCTGGCTGCGGACTCGATATAGTAACTCTATGTGAACAAAATACCCGAGAGCCAGATATGATGCATATTTGTACATACCGCTAGTGACCCGAACCTAGACTAATAGCGCCTCTACGACATGGTTCATTCCTTCTTGGTGCAGACAGCCGTGGGGGTGTTGCCCCCCAAACCTCTGAAATGGCCGATGTCTTTGGAGTTTAAGGATGCATAGGTACTTTGCTTGTTCCTTGCACCATTTTAAACAGCGCGCAGCGTAATTTTTTTCATCGAAGGATCCAGCGAGCACTATTTTTAGCTGCGGTGGCCATTATCTATCTTCACCCGCTTGAACGCTCCCGAACTTGCGTTATTCTGTATGTATGCACAAGACCGCAGCACAAAACCAGGGTAGCACCGGTCTCCCCATCGTCCCGGCGTAGTGGCTGACTCCGATGGTAACCCTGCTGATTGCACGTGCATATTTTGGTGCGCTTGAAGGCTGTGGGGTGTGGCGTTTGTTTCTCTCACGTGATCGCCGGCCCCGTTCCCATTGCAGATGACATGTCTTCCCAAGTGTATTCTGTCACGGGTCCAAATTGGCATGCTGTACTTGGTGTGTCAGCCGCGTGTGATTTTCGCTGCTGGATGTTTGGTGGCAGCCTGCGCCCCGATTTTTCATTTTTCGATTTTTCCACCAAAAATGCAAACCGTGTGGTATGCCACGTAATCCCCTCCCTGCCCCCCCGCCCCCGGTGCGACCTCCCTCGCGCCGAAGACTTCGCGTTGCGAATATGGGTTGTGTGCAACTAACTTCCGACGCCCGGGATCCCAACCAGGATGACTGCTGGTGTGTTGTTTGAGTACGATCGACAGACTTTGGTCTTAAACCTCTTCCCCTCGTTTTCCGGAGATTCTTGAGGCTCAACACGCCCCCTGCCCCCCCCGCCCCCCTTTTTTTTTATTCGTCACGCGAACCACAGGAGGAGATTCTTGAGGCGTTCAAGGTGTTCGACAAGGACGGGAACGGTTTCATTTCGGCAGCAGAGTTGCGCCACATTATGACGAACTTGGGGGAGAAGCTTACGGATGAGGAGGTGGACGAGATGATCCGTGAGGCGGATATCGACGGCGATGGGCAAATCAACTACGAGGAGTTCGTGAAGATGATGATGTCCAAGTAATGTGGAACACCAGCAGCAAGAGGAGGCGGGAGAAGAAACGAAGGAAGACAAAAAAGAAGCATTCGTGGCAGCAGAGAAAGAAAGCGTATTTCCTTGAGCGGCGGAACTATCCTGTAGAGGGAAGGTTCTCAAAGCGGGGGAGAACCGGGTACATCATTTTCTGCTTAGGGTGTAACACAAGAAGTGAGCAGCAGCAGCAGCAGCAAGCAGTAGATCGGAAGGATGGAGCGGTTCGGGTTGGGATCGTACCTACGGCATTGTCTGTTTAGGTAGAGGGGGCGTGGTAAGAACAATAATTACTTCTTGGTTGAGGAGTCGCAAATCGTGGCAGTAGAAGACACGGAGAAGAAGAACGCGCCCCGCGCGTGCAGATGAAAAGTCCGAAGCGATTCGGACACTGAAGAAAAATATATAAAGGTTTTTTCCGTGTCTTCTCTGTTTGTTCTTTTTTTCTCTCTTTTTTTGGAAAGGGATTTTTTTTCCGGCTTTTTGGGGCTCAAGAAAAAAAATTCCCCCACGGTTAGGAAACCCGCCGGTTTTTCCGGTCGCAATACCGTGGGTCACCGTTTTCGGTTCTGTTTATCCGAGAGAGAAAATGTTTGACAAGCAAGCGGTCCAATGTTAGGGGCAGTGGAACGATTTTTGTAAAGGGCGGGCGGGCGGTCGCGCGTGGGCGGCGTGTGTGTTTGGAGAAACAATGATGATTTGGCTATTTTTGCGAGCACGACTCGGTTTTAGCGGGGGTGCGGTGGACAGTGGCGACGCCGCCGCGCTTGCGGCTATGGTTTGTTTGCATTGGAACAGTCAACGTTTATGTACGGATTGTGAACGTGGTGTGTGGTGTGAGGTTGTGGTAGCGGCGAGAGACTCTTGAAATTGGCGCGCGGCCGTCGTCTTTTTTTGATACAAGAATTTCATGAATATCAAAAAGTGGTGCGTGCGTGTTTGAGAAAGATTGCCGCTGTCCCCCGCCACCCCGTCCCTGTCCGCATGGCCTTGTCCGCACGCGGAAAGAACGAACGAACGAATTTCGTAAGTTGGTTGTTCGACGCGAGGTATCTAGCTCTTGTCTGTCTTTTTTTTTCTCACGTAGGTTGTTTTCGTGAGCGTTTGCTTCATTAGGCTTTCTGTAATTACTTTTTTTGTGGGGGTGTTTTCTCACCTCCCCCCATGAAACCTCCGCCCCTCATGTTTTTGGTAAAAGCCTATGCTATCGGACGGAACGGGAATTTCGATTCCTTGCGTACAGACAAGAAATCGAAAATTAGAGAGAAAAGAGAGAGAGGCAGCAGGCAGGCGTGGTCTTTTTTTTTCTTGTTTTTTTTCTTGTTGTCCTTGGATGCCCCCCCCCCCCCCCC